AAGGTGGTCACAGAATGCGATCATGCGCACATGTGAATTTCTGAAGAGAAATAGCACCTTGCTTTTACAAGGTACTCATTTTTGAACGTCCAGGGTCTCAAAACCAATCCCAAAATCAACCCAAATCGTTTTAAAAGTCTATCTAAAAACCCAAAACAACTAGTGATGTTTGAACTGTGTTGTATTGATTTTTAAAACTTGTTAGGATCACTTTGGGCGCCAAATTTGTTAAAAGGGAAGTACGGAGCAAGGGGGAGAGAGTCTTTTGTGACGACTGGGCACCGAAGGCGCTCAAGGGTATCCCCAGACCCACAAAATTATTCCCAGCTGCACCCCCTGGGCCTCCCTAGGGGGAACCAAAGGAGTCAATTTGGATTTCAAAATCGCTCGATTTGGAATATATTAAAAGTATTGCTTTCAGAAATCCACTGCTAAAATGTCAACAAACTCAGCCCTCAAACTAGGATATACCAGGATCTCAACCCTAGACTCCCAAAATGCAAGCAGCCGCCAGAGGTGAGATGGGCTGGTGGGGTCACGCCATGGCGTAGAGAATTACTAGCGCATAGCATGGGCTCGAGTGAGCCCGTCATACACATCCAATAACTAATCAAACTTATTACAACATCGACCCCCCCAAAATAAGGCACGACAGGAAGCAACACAAGGCCACTATTGGGGAACAGAACAGTGCTATACTGGAAAGCAAAGCGTTGGGAAACAAACGATTGCCAAACACAATTGCCATGCGGGCAAAGACTACCACTTCAAGGACTCACTTCTGGGAGCAACCCCTGGGAAGCAAAAATATGAAAGAGCAAAGCTGGGAAGCAAAAGCAGACTTTTGGAGCAAGACCCACCACTAGTGGGAGCAATGTTGGGGAAAATCCGCGGGCCCATCGGCCCAAAGCGTATTGGATCCTGCAGACAAGCCTGTTTTACTTGACTCTCTCCCCTATAATCCCCTCCCTGTGGGTCCTTGGCGGCGAAAGAGCGATACTGAACTCTTCCTGGACGCTTCCTCAACGCTTTCCCGGAGAGCGTTGTGCCCTTTAAAAATCGTCTTGGGTAATCTCGGCGCCATTTTGGGCTGTCTTTGGGGCAATTCTGGATCGTCTTGGGGCCTGGGGCGCCATCTTCGCCTCCAGGAAAGTATCAAGAGCTTCCAGGACGCCCCCAAAGAGCGCCCAAGACGCCCCCAAAACGCTCCCAAGAGCGGCCAAGAGCATCCCAGGAAGCCTCCGATGGGCCTAAAACCATGGAGATTTATTCAAAAAGTGACTTTTCGTACAATTCCGTTTGCGTGACATTTTGGGTCGTCTTGTAGCCATCTTGGGGCTATCTTGCAGCATCTTCTTGAGCTGTCCTGACCCGTCTTGGGAGCGTCTTGGGAGCGTCTTGGGAGCGGCTCGGGCGGCCTTGGAGCTGTAGTGCGGCCGCCATGGGGTTATCTCAGAGTCCCCCCACCCTAGACGTCTCAAGCAACCAATAACCAACAACCAACTAGCCAAACAAGAAAACAAGCAAACAAGCAAACGACCAAATAACTACACATCTCAGGCGGTGGAATGCGCGGAGCGATCCGCCGCCCCACTGGGTAACGGCGTGTTAGATCCGCCACCGCGCCTTGGCGCAGACGGCGTTCCGAAACCTTTGTTTTTCTACCTCTTACTATTTCCCCTTTACTTTCTTACTTTCGACACAAATTTATTACTCTAGGGACCTGCAACCGGCACCCCGCTGCTCCGGCCGCCGTGGCACCTTCGCCTTCAGGAACTCTGGACAACCTACTTTGTTGCACATGTTTTTATTGTTTCGATGCCTTTTTTGGATTGATCTTGACCCCATTTCCCCTCCCAACTTGGACCCCCAAATCCATCTAAATCCATAAAACAAAATCGGTGCCAAGATGCCTTCCCATGTTGACCTCATTTTTGGATCGATTTTTCATTGATTTTTCCTCCCAACTTCCAACCCTGAAAACAACAAATCACTGGGTTTTCCATTTTCGAAAATAAAATTTGTTTGGCCTCATTGTGGTGCCAGCTTGCCTTCATTTTCCCGCCCAAAATCCTTCCAAAACTCGATCCCAAGATGTATCGCTTTGGATATTAAATCAAGGTTCGTCGTTTTCAAATCGTCGAGAATCTTTCTAAACAACATTTTTTTACCTTGAAGTAGTGGTCAAAATGTGGTCCTATACCCCTCCATAATCCTCCCCTGGACTCGTGCATCCCTTTGGACCGACCCTCTTGGGATCCGCCCCTGGCCTTATTGACGGCTCTTCGTCGAAAAAATGCCTTCCAAGAGGCCTGCGAAAAAAAACAAAAACTATATTTGAACACAAGTCGGCATGAAAGTTCTTACCTCTTGGCTCCGTGTTGGGAGACCAAGATGGCTCCAAAATCGAGCCAAAGTCAAAGAAAAATTGTTTCTTGAGCCGCTTCTGTTTGGGCATCGCTTTTGACATTGATTTTAAATCGATTTTGACTTCCAAAACGGATCCTCCGAACTTCAAAAAATCAAGCCCCCGCTTGAGCGAGAGAACGTTTTTTGCCAAAAACCGCCTTTCGAAGATTGCATCGATCTTTGATCAGATTTCCATCCCAACTTCGCTCCATTTTGGCATCTCAAATCCATCATGTTTCGGAAATTATGGGTGTCCAAAAGGCCTTTGAAATTTGATCGTGTTTCGCATCGATTTTGTTTAATCGAGTTGGGCTCCGTTTTGGCTTCCAAGTTGGCGCCATATTGTGGCCCAAGGCGGGTCCAAATCCGAGCAAACGGGATAAAAACATGTTCCCGTAGCTCCCCAAGATCACTCTGGAATCCTGCAAAGGCGAATCCCCAATAACCAGATAAGGCGCAGGCGTGATACAATTAGAAACAAATTTGGCCTTCAAGGGTCATTGCCCATGAGCTAGGAAAGGAGAACATGCAAATACCTGCGAATTACACCATCCAGGGCCAGCACCAAGCACCCAAAACAAGCGCAAACGCCGCAGTACCAACAAAGTTGGCCTGCCACGGCCATCGCCCAAGAGCCCCAAAAATGGAACGGCGGGCATAGCAGCAAATATGGCCTTCCAGGGCAATTGCTCACGGGCCAGATGAAGAGCGGCAACGGCGCAAATACCAACAAAACAACCACAATGTTTTGGTCACCCAAGTTTCTGACATTGTTGCATTTGTTGGCCTCCTCCGAAATCTATATCAGGTGACAAAATGATTGAAACAGCCCGCCGACGCTCTATCGTCGGCATCCGGTGAAAGGTTTCGCTGGGCCGATGCCTTAGACAGAGGGGGTCTCCAGCCCAATGGGCTCAACAAAATTAGGCATCCTAAAGGATTCAAAAGAATTACTTATCCGAAAGGAACATACTGGACCGATGACATTAAGGGGACTCACAAGAACTTCTGGCCATGAGTGGCTCCAGGACGTTCAAAGGAAGACTCGCCTTGAAGGGGATCGATAGGGAGTACTTGCCACAAGGACTTCAAAGGAAGTCCCCCAAAGCATTTGAAGAAACGACGGGACCTAAGGGACTCAAGGGCACAGCCAGTCCTGAACGAAGGAACGGCAGTATGAGAGCCCTCGCACGCATTGGAGCATGACCAGGAGATCCCAAGTTACTTGACAACGTATCTTGGGGGAGTCCGTGACCTATAAAACAACTAATCGCTACCGACCTGAACCAAACACCGAAAAAACCTGTGCCATTTATCTGGATCTATCAAACTTGCACCAAGAAATTGTCCAACCCAAGAAATGCCTCAAACCCTATTGGGGAAGCGAGCCCCAGAGCTTCAAAACATAGAAAAAATTGCACGTCTTGTACTTCAGAGTTTTGAAACACCTTCAATGAGTAGCCCCCTCACCCGTTCTCACGAAATACCTGCAGCATGCAACCCCAAACAATGTTCAAAATCTATGCTTCATCAAATGGTCTCAGACCTGGCGCCCAGGCATGGAAAGCACGTATTACAAAAAACAATGTTTATTTTACAATGCAGATAAGTGACCGAATGACGGAGGACAGCCGCGCTTGATCTACCAACGTATCTTTAACCGCCAAAGCTCAATCAACGTCAACCCTGTTTGGGGAAATAATGAGAAGCTGACACTTGCTCGCGGACCCCGAACAATGCTTTAAGCCATCCTGGGTTTCCTAGACATCTGAAAATCGGGATTACTCTGAGGTTACCTTTCAAACTGGCAAGCTTCAAGACTGGTGGCCGTGGGGAACAAGCCTGATAACGCTTGATATGCGAGCTGGGCCAGCCTAGGCCAAGCTACTTTGGGCTACTTCCAATGACTGGCAACATTCCTGGGAATACAAATCAATGCTATTACAAACTAAATTAGAATCCTATGTCGTCCTACGCCTTCTAAACTGCGAGATGAAATATATGTGTAAACAATGTGCAAAAACTTACACGCATGACACCATCCGAAACTATGCCAGATTTGCTAATACCTATCCTGCAACTCCCTTCATGTTCGCAGGGTCTAAAACTCCCGCTATAAGCACATGATGAATTTGCCTGTCTGCTTGAATGCCCCCTGCCGGTCTTCCTGCCTGCCTGTCACTGTCTGCCTCGTTTGTCTCTTGTATGCTGGGGCGTAAATCCATCCATCCACCCATCTACCTGTCTGCACGTCGGTGGGTCTGGCTCCACGTCTCTGTCTCTGTGTATCTCTGTCTCTCTGTCTCTCTGCCTCTCTGCCTCTCTGCCCCTGCCTCTGTCTCTGCCTCTGCATGTGTCTGTCCGTGTCTGCGTCGTCTGTCCCTGTCTGCTTGTTGTTTCTTTCAATCTGTCTCTGTACGTCTCTGTCCGTCTGTCTGCATGTCTCCATCTGTGTCTGCTTTTGTCTCTGCCTGTGTGTCTGTCTCTGTGTGTCTGCGTCTGTCTGTGTATGTCTGTATTTGTCTGCGTTGATTATGCTCGATTGTATGCTTGATTGCTTGAATGCTTGCTTGCGCTAGTTGGTGCGAATCTTAAAGTTCAGCGAATCTTACCCAACGCTCCATAATTTGCTAAAGACGAGTTCCTGCTAACTGGGTCGGCGGCCCGAAGAGCACACTATATGTATACAATCGGCATATTCAAGGGCTACAAACTATCATATGCACGGTCCTGCAGCGCACATCATCGGCCGCCTCTTGAAGGTCTGCCGAAGAGCGCATCTGAATTGGCAGCTGGCTGTGGCGGCAGCGGTGTGCTCCATGCTCTTCACGAACCATGCTGCCACTCAGCCTATTGTTGTATCGGTTCAAGCAGAGGCCTGAAAAATGAGGTGAGGCATACACGAATCAGTTCAAGGAGTGCAATGATTTCTTGCACTTCTCGAGCATTTCACTTGCCCATGCCTCTTTGGCTACATCCCTGATTGCTTGCAGCACTTGCCGGTTCCACTGCTCTGCCAAGGACTGAAGCGCCTCTTTCGCTGAGGAATCACGTCCCTTTGCAAGGGTGATAAGCTTTTCCACTGCATGCTGATTTCCCTGGTTAGCCAGGGCCTGGAGCGAAAGCTTGGCATGCTGGCAGCGCCAAGCCTCCACATCAACATTCTCACGGTAGTTGTCTACGTTCTTGTTATGCCGTTCGGCCCATCCACTCAACTCGTCATAATGAGCTCTGGATCCACGCAACTTGTCATAATTCTCTACAGCCATTCTCACTAAATTGGACCTCACTTGGTCTGGTGGTCCAACCATGCCGTATGGCGGTCGCCCATCAAATTCTTCGAGGAGGCTGAACGACTGCATGTGCTGTCTTTTTGCCATGGTCTGGAGGAGCGTGATGACCAACTGGAAAGCGGATTGCCGATCTTTCCAACAAAGTGAATACCATCCGTGCTTCATGTGATCCTTGTTCGCTGCGGCGATGGACTGAAGCACATCAAACAAGGCATCGCGTGCCTGCTCGCCCCCAGCGTCGGCTACCTCATGGAGCCCGTCAACGGCCTCCAAATCCCCGAGCTTCACGAGGTCCACGAGCGCTTGCGGCTTGCCACTTTTCGCAGCGTCTAACGCAACTTCCAAAGCAAGATGATTAACCAAGCTTGCTCGGAGATTGCTGGTAGCGTCGTCGATAGCTTGGAGATCCCCTCCTTTACAATGTTCGAACAATTTCTCGAAGAGCATGTCAGAGTCCTCGTCGCGACACTTCGCCTTTGCCGTGTCGACGGTCACTCCTGCAACTTTCAGGGCACTTTTGTGGCCACCACCTACGTTAACAATCCTGCTGTACTTCTTCTTGAACGTCTCCCCATATGCATCCGACATGGCCGCAGTAATTGTGACGTCGAGGCTCATTGCTTCCCGAACTTCACGCACGCACCACAGTCTCTCCCAGAGGTCAGCACGAGTAGTGTGGACTGCAATCATCCGGCCAGAAGTGGTCTTCACGGACTCCGAAGCAATGACTTTTGTGAATGGCTGCAACTCGATTTGCTCTTGGATTGTGGGGCCGTGCGCATCTTCCGGCTGATATAATCCAAAGCCGCAGAACCACACAGCGGTGTCCTCCGCGATGTGTTCATCATCGAAATGCTTGTTGAGCGCCTCCTGGCACTCCTCCATATCCTCGGCCCATGCATGGGAGAGCATCACCTTTGCCTCCAATGGGGTGTGCTTGTTCATCAAAACTGCGACACTGCAGCCTGTCCCGCGCGTCCATGGGATCACAAAGTGCTTGTTCATGTCGTAGAGGTTCACATGACCGTTCTGGTTTTTGATTTCCTGCCATTTTGGAGTGCTCTTGCAAAAGTCGATGAACTGGTTCCACTGAACAAGCGTCATTGCCCACATAGTGGGAGAAGAACGCTGCAATTGTTGCATCTCGCCAGTCACATCGATGGCTAGAAAAGACGGCCGAGACCGTGGGCTGACCGCAGCGCGTGGAGGGATGATGGCTGGCGGAATACGGAGGTTGTCGTCATGGACATGCAGACTCTTGCGTTTCGTTAAGCCCTGCTCGCAAAAAAAGGATGCTCACCCTACCGTCCACCACACTTTCTACCTCTGCCTCCAACCATTCCTTGCGGAAGATATCGACGCGATCCCCCGGCCTCAGGGAGCCCAAGCTGTTGCCCGTGCTTCTGCGAGACATTGCGATGCCAAGGCAAGAAAGCGGAATCTAAAACTACGCGGAAGCACTGCCGAGGATTGCTTCCGAAATGGCTGCACACGTAGAGATGGTCTCTTTGGGAAGGTACACAAGCAGGTGTCCAATCATCCAGTTAAAGCTCCTACTCAAACACAGAAACAGTGGACAATGTATCTGCAAGTATTACGGCATAAGAACACTCGCAAACTCACACACTAACACATAACTATGCAAGCAAGTTTTAGCTGAAAAGGGGTTCCTACTTATAGCGACCAACAATTGTTATTATTCCCATCGTTTCCAATGTTGCATCCCCTTTTGCTTCCCTTGTAATGCGCAATGCTGAATCATCCGCCACTGTGATTGCACGGCTGTGGCGTGCCTGGGTTCTATTTGATATTTGAATCTTTGCATATTCTACCACGCGCAAACCAAATCTACGTGCGTGGTACCAACTAGTCCAAGTGCCTCATTCACGGATCCTCTTGAATCCCCTCAGGCGACTTTTGTCCCTCTTGAATATGAATTGAAAAAGCGATGCCAAAAAATTACAAAATTCAAAACCGAATTGCCTCCCAAACGAAATCGGAACGGAGCCAAAGCGGAGCCAAAATCAATGAACCTTCTATCTTAGGACAATGAGCGAAAAAACATCGCAAATACTGAAATGCGCTTTCATCTGGATATCTTCGAGCCTTAAAGGAGAAAACAATAGCGTTCGAATTTGGAGCCTTCCTGCATACAGACGCCCCAAGAGCTCAAAATATCATGAAAAATCAATCCAAAATCTAACCAAAATGGGCGCCACATGAAAGCAAGATGTAAACAAAAAAGTGTCCGAAAACGTGTTTGGAAATACAACGGTGAAATAATCCCAACATGCATTCAAGATGGAGCCATCTGCGATCCCTCCCAAAAGCGTCCTGCGTCTTGGAAGCCATTTTGGGTGGTCTTGAGGCCAGGATGTGCCCAAGATGTCCCCAAGATCCCCCAGGTCCCTCCAGGACACAAAAATTCAACAAAAATACACCCCAAAATGGAACCAACATGCTCCCAAAATTGTCAAAACATGCTCCGGAAATGCTTACATCACGAGCAAAGCTGAGCAAGCACGGTGTTGGGATTGCGCGAATGCGCGTTTGAATATTCCGTTTATTCCAAGGGCTAGTTCAACAAAAAGTGTTCGGTTCTGTGTATAATATTCGCCAACACACAAGATTTCATTTCTGATTGACAACTTCGTTCCAATACTGCTCTTTGGGCTTTGCATGGGCTCGGAATACTTTCGGACGGCACGATTGTTCTGATACAAAAGTAATGCTTCACTTAAACTCCAAGTTGATTCGGTCGGCAACTTCGTTACAGTTCTACTTCTGCGTCAGGTTAATTCCCTAAAAAGAAGATTTGGAGAGCACCTTGGTTCTAGTGTTACTTTGGGGTGGGTGGGTGGGTGGGTTACGTGCAGTCAGACTGTTTCATATGGCACCATTGCTCTAGCACTGCCTTTGGGTTTACGTACTTTCCAAACCTTTTAAAATGGAGAAGCGTAACTTTCGGGAAGCACGTCGCTTCAACAATGCTTCCGAATACTAATTATGCCAATTTTTTGTTCGCAGAACACAAGGTCCGCAAACGCCATCACAATATGAACTGCGCCCCGCATCTGAAACCAAAAACAAACAAGTGTTGCGTCCGAGCTTCGTCACCCCCACCCTGCCTTAAAGCTGTCGGTGACTTGTGGGATGCATTGAATGATAAAACCTTGTCGAAGAACCGAATACGCGGCATCTGTTGCGCGTGATGGTCGTGTTGATATCTTTTCAATTGTATTGCAGACAATGTTTGAGCTGGCAAACAAAAACTTGCCGCCAGAGATACACCAAACAATGCCGCAACTCACGCTCCAAAATATCGTCGTGACGAATGCCCATGCGTTCGCCTCTCAAAGTTTCGATATTATTAGCAAGGATTAGCAAGGAACGAGCTGCACATAAGTGTTGAATTTCGAAGTGCCACATAAGCATGTCAATGGAGAAAAAAGTAAGTGGGACGTACAAACCTCGAAACACAAGGCGGAGAGGTGAAGCGAAGGATAGCATAGGTCAACGGACGCAGGACAGGGCACAGAGGGTCCAGCGCCTCGGGCGTCAAATAACCAGGTGTGAAAATTAGTTGAAGGCAACTAAAGGCAACCAGGTAGGCGAGACAGGGCACAGAGGGTCCCACGCATCGGACGCCAAATCAACAGGCGGAGAGGTGATGTTAAGGAAGCTCCAGGAAACAAACGTAGAGGAAAGCAAATAAGAAAAGGAAGGATGGGGGATGGATCGACTGGAGGTGTGGGAGGGAGGTATTGTGGGAGGGAGGAAGGAAGAGGAGGAGGGGAAATAATGAGGAGTGGGGTGAGAAGCAAAATTGAACCTTCACCAAGGAGTGAAGGAAAACTTAGGGGCGGGGAATCATTGGCACGCCGTGCAGTGGCGAGTCCGCAGGCACGTCGCCCGATGCGACGCGTTTTATGTCAGTGGCTGTATAGAAACCATGCCCTCGCACGAGACGATGGGCGAGGTACCCACACGATGCCAAGGCGCGGGGGAGGTATGTTGGGAGGGAGGATGTCTATGTGTGGGAGGGAGGTATGGTGGGAGGTAGGCAGAAGGGAGAAGAGGAGGAAGAGGAAGAATGAGGAAGGGGGCGAAAACTAAAATCGAACTGTCACCAAGGAGTGAAAAAACTTAGGGGCGGGAAATCACTGGCCATCCGTGCAGTCCGTGCTGTCCGTGCAGTCCGTGCAATCCATGCAATCCATGGAGTGGCGAATCCGCAGGCGCGACAGGCGCGACCGGCGCGACCGGCGCGACGCGTTTGATGTCTGTGGATGTATAGAACCCATGCCCTCGCTGCAGACGATGGACGAGGCGCACACACGAGGCACACACGAGGCAACAGCTCGAGGGCCCGCGTAGACTCGCCCTTCTTGATCCAGAGGCCAGCCCTGCACCCGCAGCAGCCGCCGCAGCACCCTCTCCCCATCCCGCACCCGCGCGACGTGCGCAACGCAGATGATCGGACGGGGTTGCAGGGATAGTCGGCGGAGATTGCCCGTACTTCCGATCTGGACGTAGCCCGCGCATGCCAGTGCAAATAACCCAGGGCCGCAATCGATGTGGGCGCAGAAGCTTCGGAACTCGGAAGGCGTCGCCATTTATTATAGCTGCGGACTCTCCCGTGCGACGCACCGGCCTCTCGGCCGAGCTTTCTCCCAAACGCAGCCTGGGTCGTCCTCGCACCTCGGAGGCACTGTCTTGCGGCGCGAGTGGCACGGCTTCAAAATAGGGTGAATCATTGCGGTTGCAAGCAGGCCCTGCTTCAAAGAGGCAGCCGACGGCGGGGCGGCGGCCTCCTGTTCAAAGGCGTAGAAATGTTCCCTCAGGTTGGGGCTGAGCGAGCGCTGCAGTCGCCGCATCGTTTCGAGTATCTTGCCCTTCGCGCTCGGGTGCATCCACTCGTCGCGCGCGAAAACAAAATCCCTCAGCTCGTATTTCAAGGCCGCCTCAGCGAGCTGCAGGACGCGCCTCTTGCCGATGTGTGTGTCGTTGGGCCGGTTCATCCGCGCGACAGCGAGGATCTTGATGCCCTGCGGATACGCGTAATGCCACGCGGCCAACCGTTGCAGGAGGTTATGAGCGCAGCCGATCTTTATCGGCTCGCCTGCAAGGCCGACGGGCTGGATCGCGTAAAGCCCCCCCTTCTCGCAAGCGCGCCCCTGGCAGAATCGGACGAACTCATGGTAGGAAGCCATTATTTTTCCATAATACCATTTCTTCTCGGCGAGGTGTTAGGGATCTTGGGTGAGTGCTGCGATCGAATCAGCGAAGCGCGTCAGCAAATTCGCGCAATCTCGAAGCGAGGCTTCTCAGCGCAGAGCCATCCGCGCAGACCGCAGTGACACGCATGGAAATGCCGAAGCGAAACTGGTATTCGACTACCGCCCCAGCGGCCTCTAGCAGGTCGGCACAGTCACGCACGTCGTCTTCGCAGACGGAGCCGGAAAGATTGCGGAGCCAGAGCACTGCCCGTTCGAGTTCTTTGCTGGTGCAAGCGAACGCGGCGCCGCTGAACGTCTGGCAAGGTTGACTGTGGAAGACGGAAGCAACACGGTCGAGCCGGCGGGACAAGTCACAAGTCGTTTCTGGGTCGCTGAAGTCCCAATCCAGATCGAGCTCCTCGCCGACCCGATAGTAAACGTAGGCATCGCGGTCGTCGGCCACGAACTTCAACGCGCGAGCGCTGGCGCACACGATGTCTTGGTAACGCCGCGCCGCGTCCCGCAGCGCAGACAGCTTCAACTGTTCGCGCAGCAGCTGCGCCCTCGCGTGGTCGCACACGGAAAGCAACGCCTCCGACATGAGCACTCCAGCCTGACAAACGGCCAACTTTTTGAAATAGCCCCCGAGCATTTCTCCGCTGAGCCGAACGCGGCGCCGTGCCCAGATCAACTTGGGTATAGGTGCGCGGAGGAAGCAGGGGCCATGCGATGAGTGGCCCGCGTTAAGTTGCGTTTCCGATTTTCCCATGGCGTGGCTCATTGACATATTAGAGCGGCTGGTGGTTGGTTTGTTGGCTTCATCGCCTTCGCTCGTAGTCTGGGGAATCGATCACCACACCTTCCACCATGTTGACCTCTTCCATAGGAGAGAGGCTGGTGGTTGGGTGGTTGTTCTGTGCGACTCACGTACTTTCCCTGGGGAATGGATCACCACCCAGGGGAAGTTTCTCTTCCATAGGAAAGAGTAAAGTCTACGCGCGTGAATTTCCTCTAATACCTATTAAAGGAAATCGAAGAATGCCAAAGACGAATCGGTCTGGGCAGGCACTAACACTGTCTTCTGAGCAGCTGGACTCGATCATGGCCGAGCTGTCGCCGAAGGCGCGTGCAGTGTTCTCTTTGTGCAGATTCACCGCTGCTAGAATCACGGAGGCCTTGTCGTTGAAATGGGAGAATGTGACAAGCACCGACATCGTTATACCCAAGGCGATCACAAAGAAGAAGATGAGAACAAGAACCATCCCTAT